AAGCATGGTTAGCTACGTGAATTCTAATGCTACCATAGCATCTATAACTATCAAGTCTGCAATGTAGAATTAATATGGCCCATTAAGAATCATTTTGTGTCTGTTATTGCACTGATACATCCAAACATATCCAGGAGGTTCTTGTTTCTTGATGTTGTTTGTGCACATTTCACACCATAAACCCCATTGTAAAGCCTTGATTAGTTTAAGTAAACTTACATACCTATCTTAATGTAATGCTCTACTTAGTAAATGACTGGCTAATCTAAGTAAGTAACAAGTAAATCCCAGTTATTGTGAAGGAGATTTTCACATGATCATGCCCCAGACCTGCAGGGAGATTCTGCATAGAGACGCACAAGAAGCCTAATACGTCAAACCGTGACTCTTTTTCCTTTCAAAATATTTGGACTGCACCAATTGCTCCTGTCTTGGCCTTAAATGTGAGCTGCCTGGTAAAGTGATCAGACAGAGTGTACACTGGCACAATACTACAGCCTTTGACACAGTACTGTCCCTGACTCCCACTCTCCCAAACTCACTTGGGCTCAGGTTACACACCTGTTGCTTTTGCCAGGCCATAGTGATACCTGCCACTCAGGTGGGATTCAGCTGAATATCCTGTCTGGTGTAGCTTTTCTTGTTCTGGCAACTTGAGGAGCAGAGCAGACGGGCATTAAGCATGGAGGAAGTCAGAGGTTGTACATCAAAACAAAAGGTCCCGTGGACAGCTGGTGATCACCTGTGCACAATCAACAATCTACACAATGCACACTTTAAAAACTCACCATTACCTGCTGCTAAACATCATCTGTACAAATCTAGAAAGTCAATACATAAACACTTTTATGTAGCTGTATAAATCACAACTGGAAATAGGATTTTATGTTATCTTATTTAAAATACTAGTAAATATATATGCAATTTATAACTGTAGCATAGACAAATATTTGGCTTCAGCTGCTAACAGAAACACTTTTCATATTGCAGTGATAATGCAGCAAAATAAATAACATTTGGAGCAAATAACTGTTTTAAGTGCCATATCACTTATCACCATAAAAACAAAATGCACAAACAGGGCACACACACACACTCTCACATACACACGCACACATACACGCACACATACACGCACACACCTTTTAATCTATTTAATTGAACTTGACTTTGAATAACTAAACAAATGAGGAAATTCACAGGGGGCACTTGATCCCTTCTAGACTAATGGATTGCAGATTCCTTTCCCATAGGGGCATTTGGACAAACAAGACAAGTAATCTCTGAATTGATGAGTGGGCTCTCTGCATCAGATTTCTCCTGTTCTGTGAGTGTGCCACACTAAGAAATCACTTTGCATGGAAGACCTTATATTGTAGCTTTGGTTGCAAGCCATTGTGAAATCTAAACATTTTTGTTGTGGAACTACATGATTTTTTTTTCAGTTTTTTTTGTTTGTTTAGTTTTGTTTTTGCAACAGGTATATGAAATGAAACTTTTTGGATTTTTCTAATGTCCTGATCCAGTAATAAGAATAGCTATAAAGTACATGGAATCTTACTAGCCCCATTTTGATTTATTCATCATGCTATACTACTAAATATGTGACTTGGTATAACAAAATAGAACAATAGAACATGTTTCTGTTTATCACGGATTCACTTCTAGCTGTACATTTGTGAAAATAATAATGGCATCAAACAGCAAATCAAGGGAGAATGTTTTGTATAATAATTAAGTCAAATTTATTAAACCCTTGAGCCAAGAATTCAGAAATTGTTATCAATATCATAATTACCTGTAAGAATAAATAAGACATGATTTTTCCATTAAACAAACATATACAACATGCCCCATGCTGCTACAGCAACATTTTATTTGGGGTTCGACCAAAGTTTGACCAAAACAAATAACACACAAATGCATAGAATTGGTACAATTTAAGACAACACCTATTTCCTAAGTCCCTGTTTAAGAATGTACAAAGACTGTTATTTGTCTCCTTTTTCATGTCTGAGAAGGAACGAGTATAAAAATAAAAATTTCACAATGATAAATAGCTATATTTATAGACATTTGGCAACAAACCGACATTTAAAGACCCCCTAATCAACCAGTTTTTGTGTTAGAAATAAAAACATGACAACACACATAAAGTAATTCCACAATATCTCAACTACAAGCATGTCTGTTGTATACATTTTTCCTTATTTAAAAAAGTAAAATTCTCTCCTTACCTTGTGAAAATTTTAACTACACAATTTTCAGGCCAAGTGCTTTTAACTGTAATAAATTAATCCAGACCTGACATTCAGATGGGAGGAATATCAAAAGGGGCAGCATGACAAGAACTGTCCAGTTTTACATCTTTGAAAAAAATCCCAGAGTCCATTTTTTGTTAAATTAGAAAAAAACAAAAAAGCCTAAACAAACAAAAAAAGAAACAACAAAAAAACAAAAAAACAAACAAACAAACAAAAAAAAATTATTCCTTGACTGATCAAAACTGTCCATGATCTACTTCATCAAGCCAGGAGGCAGGACTGGCAGGAAAATCTGGATAACCCCCGCTACTGCCTGTGGAGAGGTCCGAACTGGGTCCATTGTTGGTTGCCATGGAAACCCGGGGATTGATGCCACTGTTTGCACCGGGGGTCATGATGGACAGGCCGGCGTCAGGGTAAACCAGGCTGGAGATGAGTGGTTGGTGCCTGGGCAGAGACGGCAGGGAGCCCGGGGACTGGGGCAGACCGTAGGGGCTGTTGGAGCGGATGTCGTGGAACTGGTCTTGAGATGGGAGCACACTGTGGTCCAGGGCAAAGGAGTTGTGATTGTTGCCCCCTTGACGTCCTCCCATGGCTGGTGAAGACTCGCTCAGGCTGTTATAGATGCCATTAGAGTGACCCAGTTCTGACAATGGAGGCTCATCTGGGAAACAACAAAAGTTCTGTTATGTCACATTTTACCACTTTATTTTATTTCTACACTTAAAACAGGCCTTATTGTCACACAGTAAACTTCATTTATCATGACCACTGTTTTAAATTCCACACAAGTACAAGTACAAGTACAAGTACAAGAACAAACAAACAATTTATCTTAATGAAATCTATATTTTGAGACTGGTCATATTATTTTATTGACACAAAGATGTACAGAATTTGGTATCATATTTTTGAGATTTTTTTTAACACATTTGGAGTCTAGTTTGTTTGAAATATTCAAAACCTTTCAAAAGAGAGTAAATTGTCCATACTGCATAATTTCATGTAATTTCTCCACATATAAAAAAATCCAGCATTGAGGAACGGCAGTGAATGACATTAATAGAGCAGTATTTCAGTAAACATAAGAACAAAAGTAGTGCAATGCTTATTTTTAACAATATGAATTGTCTCATCACATGAACAAGACCACGAACACTGCCCAGTAAATAAACAAAATAGCAGCATCCATGTTTATGAAAATGTCCTGAGGTATTAATCGGTCATAATTTGTGGGTTTACCTGAGAAGGAGACCTCGGCATCGCTGTCCATGCCTTCCTCCTGTATACTGTCCTTGTCAGATTTGGAGCTTCCTCTGGACCTCTTCATGTTACGGAAATACTGGCCCCACCTCTGCCGCCCAGCATCTTTTTTTAGACGCTTCTCTTTTGCTCTTCTGTTCTGGAACCAAACCTGAAATAAATATTTAAATCAGAAATGTTATTTTGTGCACCAAAAATATAGCACCATTTTATTTTAAGTAACTTTCTTGCTTTTATTTTCATGTGATTTGAAACTATACTGTGACAACTAGCAGTAATCCCACTTTTTCCATCATATATCAGATTTATAATCCATTTTATTAACTTCTCAGCTGCAACAAAGTGCGTACCCTGGGAGCACGCGTTACATATTTCAAAGTAAGTTCAGGTCACCTCTCATTTATAATCTTAATATCGTAAAAACCTACATTTTCCATAATTATATTCTTAAAAAAATCTCCCTCAAAAAAATGAAGCTTAATGATATTCCACCTTTAGTGAACACTTTTTTCCTAAGCCTTTCACAGAATAAGGAGCAAGGGTTTTAGTGGCTTCCACGTCTACTTTTGTCCTTGTATAAAAGAATATATATAGCCAACCAACAGCACATCGCTAAAGCACAGTGTAAAGGGGCTTTTAGAATAGTTAACGATTGCACACTTAAACCTGACTTCCCCTTACTCCATCTTCACTCATAAATTCACTTCGACTGCATTTCCAGTATATGTAGTATCAGTCGTCTTGTGCCGGTCATCCACAAAAGCTCATCCATAATGAAGCTGGGACACAAATAGGATTATTTCAGTAGTTTATATTACATTACCTGTACAACGCGCATGTCCAGGCCCGTCTCAGAGGAAAGCTGCTCTCGGACGTGGCGAGCTGGTTTGGGAGAGTTGTTGTAGGCATTCTTCAGTGTTTCCAGCTGCTTTGCTGTGATTGTTGTTCGTGGTCGTTTTGCTGTTGAGTCTGCCTCTAAAACATAAAAAAGGAAGTGCAATGTCAGTAATGTGTTGGTAATGCAAACAGACTATTTGGCACAGATCTTGGTCCTATGTATCAAGCGAGACTCTCTAGCGCACCATAAACATTTGATCTCTCATGCCTATAAACCAATGTGTCTGAGCATTACTGCACATCTGTTGGCCAGCACAGCAGAATGCCGGACGATGCCCCAATAATTGCAGTCACTCATTAGTAAAATAAACTGTGTGTTTTTGGTGAAAACTTACTGCATAAATAGTCTCTGCATAAATCTGGAGCAGTAAATTTAAACAAATGTAAAGAAAATTAAATATTAACATGGCGTTTGTACTAGAACCAATATTGTATAGCCCATGGACCTATACCATATACTGCAAACAAAAACTATTTGTGAATTTGTAATTGTATTCAATCTCTGTGTAATTGACACACTTAACTTGTTCTTCTGTACTTTATGTGTAGCACTAGGAGATCTAATCCAGTCTAGATCAAATCTCAAAAGTGCATTAGGCTTATTTAAATAAAATGCATTATTATTATTATTATTATTATTATTATTACAGTTGTTAATGTATGTGTTATTCTAGTATCCTACGCATATTATTGATTGATGTTAATTCTTTGGGGTGTCTGCACTCGTCAGTTTCTCACCTCGCTGCTTGGCAGTCTCGTAGTCCGCCTTACACACTAGTCTACTGTCCTCCATCAGGTAGTACTCGTCCCCGGTGGCCAGCTGCCTCTTGCACACGATACAAGCAAAACAGTGCAAGTGGTACACAAAGTCCTGCGCCCGCCTCACCACCTGAGTGGGCGGAATGCCCTGCTGGCATGCCGCGCATTTAGTCCCGAATCTCCTTTTAACAGGCAAAACAATCTTTATTAAATTCTAATAATGCTAAAAATAGGGCAAGAGGATAGGCCTCTCAAGATATAAGAGCAGATACAGTATCATTAGATGGGCTACGCAGTTGAACTCACTTGAAGAAGTCGTCTTTGCAGTACACGCTCTCTCCTCGGCTGAAGCACTTGTCCGCGAGCTGGGCCTGACAGTCGCTGCATTTCAGGCACTTGCTGTGCCAGTGGCGGTCCAGCACTTTGAGAATGAAGCGGTCTACGATGTGCTGACTGCAGCCCGCGCACACCGGGATTTCTGAGAAGCACAAAATCCAGATTTTTCGTTAGTTTCAATAGTCTACATAGTTTGAATCACTAAACAGGTTCAAGTAATTCAAGCGATTTGTCAGCTGCCTGTTAAAAATAGCCCATCCGCTAGCCAATATTTCCATCCATCTAGTATTTAATTGTATTCAAGTACGCGTTATCTACCTTACCTAACTTACATTGCAGCAATTTTAAATCACTATCATTAGTTTGCTTTATTATCAGTCTTTAAACAATGCAAATTTAAGTTTCGTGGTCCTAGTTTTAGGTCGTTTAGTAGGCTAAGCTATAGATTGCCAATTTATTTTTATTCGTTTAAATTCAAAAGCGTTAAGAGTGAAAATAAATAAATAAATAAATAATAATGATAATAATAATAAATGAACTATTCTTGACACCACTGTGCATTTTCTTAAAATCATAGGCTTAACTTTAAAACTTATTTTTAAGGCCCTGAAAACTTAAGTTTATGTAGTCTATATAACTTCGTGGAAATAAGTTTGTTTGTTTTTTTGTTTTGTTTTTGCGATAAGGGTTATTTGATTTAGCTCCTCGCCTTACCAGTCGGCCTTCAGACTATATCCAGCACAACGGCCACACGAAGATCAATAGAAATATTGCAGCAAAATGAATGAACAAGGAAGGCGTTGATAGGCGTCCGTTACACTGGGTTCAATTAAGATCAGGAAACATTCTAGGTGCGTAACTTAAAAATAAAATTACCTGTTGGCTTTAACATGAAAAAATCACACACACAACTTGCAAAATGCCAGAAAACCATCATGTTATAACTAATTCAAAGAAGCATTGCCACTCCATATTCCATCCGTGCAAGGAATCCCGTGGCCATTGTTTGCTGCGGACAATTCATCAACTATTGATGAAGTTTTTCTTGCAGCATCAACAGCGAGTCCTGAACAAGTGGGAGCAGCGTCCAGAGCAGGTGTATCCAAGGTCATGATTAATTTACCGCGCGGTGTAAAACTAGAAAGCGGACTCCATAGTCTCACAAAACAAAACAGACAACTGGGCTTGAACCAAATTTCTTTTTGAAAACCTGTAAGTACCGCACTTAAGAGCATGTAGCTGCAATTGTAGGCCTATAGATATAAGGTCGGCCTACCCAATTTCACAAAACCATAGTCATTTTAAACGGTTACAAGGCAAATTGAATGACGTGAGCTCCGTGCGTAAATGTGTGTTGCACGTAAACCACTAATCGGCAGAATAAAAATACTCTATAGCAGTTATACAGTTTATGAATTAAAAATAATGCAATAGCTACACTGTTTTGTTTTGTTTTTTGTTTTTTTTTTTTGTTTGTTTGTTTTTGTTGTTTGTTTTTTTTAGTCCAGACCAAAACAGCATAGCTTTTAAATAAAGTCCATGGATGGTGCAACACGCCTCTCCGGGCCACGAGCACCACCAAATTAGAAACAAAACAGTTTTTTTTTAGCTGGCATTACCTTTCCGGAGCTCCTCGTGCGACAGCAACGCCAGTAGCATCTCCGCGCTGCCCTGGATGTTTTTAGGGGAGTTGCGCTCAGCAGGTCCATCCATTGCTCATGTTTCACGCGCACAGACATTCATGCAAAACGTTTGTAGTCAGTTTTCAAAATAATCGCGCAAGTCTTAGTTTCGGGCTTGCAGCGCATCTCAGAGCAGAGTGGACTTTGCCATTTGACTGTGGGACAGCCTGTGCTGCTGCGTGGGATTACGCGGTGCGGTTTCCTGGGTGACGGGCGGATAGATTAACATCACCTATACTTTACCCGGAAGAATAAGGAGAAGCTGAGAGAACAGGCCAGTGGGTGGTGCGTAGTGAGTGGGTGGTATGTAGTGACACCCTGTCCATAGGTGCATTGCGCAAAAAAGAAAAAAAAAAAGAAAAAGAAAAGAAACAGTTTGGATAGTCTATAGTCTTTGATTTTGACAATCTATCTCTTCATTTATCACAAAAAAATGTATGCGTAATTGTTTGTGGTGTAGGATGCTGTTAGATGCTGTTATTTTATATTAATAGTTCAACTGATCTGACGACTAAGGCTTCAAATAATTGCAAAAAACAGGATAATAATTTTTTTTCGTTTCCATCAAATTTTACACCAAATGTAGTTTTTTGAAGATTCCTTTTTTTATTTTTATTTTGAGAGGCAAATAAAATAAATACACAAGAATTTGAAAAAAAAAACAAACCCAAAAAACAAATAAAATAATATTAATAATAAAAATAAAAGCTTTTTGGTTTTGTGCCATGCTAAGATTTGAGCTGCAGTGACTTAAGAATACTTCAAAATGTAGCGCAATATTTCGTGAACATAATAAACATTTTTCAATTTCGTGCGTTTTGAATGCGCTGTAGGATTATAATATAGTACCCTGAATTAGGGCCTACTTGTGCAGCACGCGCATCTGTATCATTGTATAATACAAACACGGACACTGACTCCTCTCAGTGTTTATTTAGGCAGATATTGGCTGTTCAATAACAAGTTGATCGGGCCAACACCCCAATGAATTTTATTGACACAGATCTGTGGCACAAAAGAGCGTCTGGGGAAATCACGGATAGTGGCACACAAGCGCATGGGCGCGCGCTTGAGATGAATCTAAAATCAATGTGGACCTCAGCAGTACATTACTATAAGAGACGTTTGGGGAAGCTGGGGGGTTCATGGGTTCCCCTTTATACTTTTCATCTCTATAATCATTTTTATGTTCAGCATTGATCTTTCACTTTAAAGAGCGAGTTCGACAGTAATGTTGCAACAACGACCATAGTCCAAACGGACAGATGGTTACATAAAAAAGAAGATATAAAACACAATATAACCAAATTTCGAAACAATAATTTTATGTTTTTTTTCCAGTTTGTCCAAATGTTTGACATGAATTCAACTTATACGCTTCAGGGGCTCTCTGCTGCACCTGTCGAGGCAGGAAAGTGACACCTGTGGAGTCTTAGGGCTCCAAGTGGGGGGCATCTCTGGCTTCAGTCTGCCTTGTCCACAGTCCGTCCAGTCAGGGCAGTGCTGTATACAGTGTGCACGATGTGCGTGTGCGTGTAGGCCTGAGCTCCCGTGACAACCACAAGCGATGGTGTGAAATGACAGCACGCGGATAACATCTGTTGGTGTGATTCCCGCAACAATGAAAGCTCATTACACATTCATAACGTCTCCCATACACGCATCACGAAACTGCTCCAAAACTGCCCAAAGAAAGCTTCATCCCAAAGCCCTATGAAAATTTCACTGAAGTCCATAATTTCAAAGTTAGAAAAATATCATAATCACGCTTAACCACTGACTTGACACTTGTCATGCTTTTCTTAGGGTTCTCCACATTGACCACAATTTCACGCCTTATTATGACTCAAAGGCCAACTGCTCCACAGTGCAAGTGCAATTAGGAGCAAAGAAAAACTAATAAATAAAAACAAACAGACAAAAATATCTTACCTTGTCCTGAAGCGTACCGGGAGAAATTTCCGTTGCTCTGACAACTTGACCCCGGGTGTTCAAGCAACATTTTCAAGTGCAACTGGTACAAAAAAATAAAAATAAAAAATACCAAAGCGGCACCCAAAATAATAATAGTAATAATGATAAGAATAAATCGGCTTTCGTATTTTTATCCTTTCAGTTGTAATGTTGTGTTGTTAAAAGCGATCCCTTGGCGAGCCTCAGAGTACTTAGAATATTCATCAGGTTGCTATTTGACTCCGCACTGGACCCTACAGGACGAAGCGGTGCAAACTGACCATTAGCCTTGTCAGCTGACTTTCCTCCGTCTCACCACTGACCGAGTGACTGAGCGCACATTCGCGGTACAGGTCTTTAGAGAGAGCGGTCCGAGCTGCCTCTGTCCAGGGTGCTGAAAGGGGAGTTTCTCTAAAAAGCCTGAAGGCGTGTGTTGCATCTAGACCCCCTCTGCCACCATGCACATACAAACACCCCCTCCCCTTCTTTATCCACCCTGGCTGTGTGCTGCACGTGTCTATATCTTTCAAGGGCCTCAATGGGGGCAATTGGGCAGCGCTCTGGGCATTGTTATTACGCATTTTCAGAGACGGCGCCTGCCTTTTGTTTCTGGTTTAGCACAGCATCACAAAAATAGCACAAATGGACGCAACGTAAAGAACAAATATAGTCTTAAATGTATTTATTTTTTTGTTGTCATTTTTTTTTTAACATGCCTGTGGTATTTTACTGCAATGCCATGTTAAACATGAATAGCACAATATATATATATATATATATATATATATATATATATATATATATATATATATATATATATATATATATATATATATATATATATAATAATAAATGAAAGTATTTTAAAATATATAGGCTATTGTCTGTACCAATTCTTACTCTAGCCCACAGTTAGAGCAATATTTTGGTGACAATGTCCACTGTTGTAACATGCGTTGTCCAAATGTCATGGTCGTGACCTTTCGCCAATTATAACTAGTAATGTGCCCAAACCAACTCTGACCCAGTGCTACAGCTTTGATTCAATTTTACTTGCTCAGCACGCGAGCATGAGTGGTGTAAGCCAATTAGATCTATGCTCTTCATTAGTCTACTTGTTGGGCTTCATTAGTCTACTTGTGCGGCAATTGGCCATCATCCAAACCTGCAATCATTTACACCATTGTACCACAAGTAGGCCTGTACTCTGGGATTTTAGGTAGAACAACTAACAGAACCTACTGGGTTACTGAACACCAGAAAACAATCGCTTCCCAAATACAAATAATATCAAAAATAACACCACTGACTATGCATTTGGATGCATTTTTTTCAAAACTCATTATGATCAAATAAAAAGAAGTCACAATCATATACTATAATAATAAAATATTTGTTGATACTATGCAGCTCTCCTGTTCTTTAGACATGTTTTATCTCTTTTTCAGTCCACCTGCTCCAACCTGTGTGTTCTTTTGTAATGTTGAGTGGATGCCTTAAGAAAGACGTTTTAGCTCTGCTTTGGTTCATGCATTGAGTATCATCATGGCAGATTGGTAAAGCGTTAATCCACCTGGGTCCCACTTGAGAGAGTCTCTCACATGAGCTGTGAATGGCCCTCAAAGACCTTTGCATATTTGTGCTTGGCCTAGCTGGCTCTGATTTCTGACCTTGAATAAATGCATGTTTCATTAGCTTCACACAAGCTTCTTGAATTGAGGAAGCCTCCACTCACAACTGCTGCTTCAAAAGAACATCTCATGTGCATTCAGAAATCTTTGTTTTCCTTTTAAATGAGATATATTGCTGGATGTGATACATGATTTCGTGTCTGAGATAGTGGTCTATACTTGACCTAAAATGTGCATCTACAAAAAACAAAACACAAAAAACAAAACAAACAAACAAAACAAACAAACAAATAAAAAAACATTATAAAACAGGTAATTTTAGTTTCCTAAATATATGAACATGTATAAATCACTTATACAACTGAAGAACAACTGCACTTCATGCTGAAAATTCAGATTCCTCTTTCAGGTTTTAAAAATAGTTTCACACTTCATATAATGGACCACCTGACTTGAATTGTTCAATATGTCTGTGAACACAAGTGACTGGTCATACATGTAGTACATATGCATGCATGTAACTGCCTCCTCTCTGCACAGCTGAGTGCGAGTACTGTGGGCAGGAGCAGGGGTCTGGGTGAACCCATCCCACCCCTCGGACACTGGGGGGTCATTGTGCTGCTGTCATGATCAATCATGTTCTCCAAAGACTAGTCATGTCCAGAAGGGAGGGGACCAATCACACGCCTCATTACCCAGGCTTGGTTACTTCTAAACAGGGTATCTACAGGGGACATCAGCCTGTTACTGTCTGGGTGGAAGTTGGTCAGTAAGCAAATAAAAATCAAACATAAAAATCTAACAAATTATTATATTTATAGACAGCTTATAATTATGAAAACACACACATGTATACACAAAGTGCACACACTCACACCCCCACACACACACATATATATACTCACACACATTTGGCCTTCTAAACTGAAGTTAATTTAATACAATAAGTAATGCCAATTACAGTTTTGTAGTAGTAGCTAACCAATATCAATTTGTTTTTATGGCATTGTCATGTTTTGAAATAGCCCCATCTGGTTAGATTTCACTGACCAGGCTGGCCATGGCTTACTCCCCCCAGCAGCTGGTAAAACTGCCCAACTGCTTTTCCACATTGGTCTGCAGAGTAACCGACACTGTGCTGCTGCCCCTTGAAACTCACACACACACAAAACGCAAGGCTCACTGCCTCCCCCCTCCCCAAGTTGTCCGCCTGCACACTGAGGTCAACTGGCCTGAGCTTAAAAACATGGGAGGGGGAGAGATGTATGACCATTTCTGTTGTCTATTGTTATCCATTCACAAGTGCAAGGAAAGAAGTGGGTCAAAAAGAACCATTTAAAACACTTGAGAATCATTTTGATAGATAACAGGACTTGGTCATTCTCATTGTAAATTAACTATAATTTAATTGTAAATATTGTAATTAGGGTTGTTGAGTTTAAGTAAA